CACTTACAATAGGTCACGAAGCAGCGGTTGTTTCGGTGAAATGTCGAAGATCTGAAGGTCCACAACTGGTTTTCAACGGCGCGGTAAGTCGACGTGCTTGACACCAACATCGTCTAAGCTATCCACCCTAACGTCCTATGTGCCGTTCCTATCCTAACAACCTCGTTGAAAACCAGTTGTGGACCCTCAGATTTTTGACTTTTTGCGGAAACAACCGCTGCTTTGTGGCCTATGGTAAGTGGATCCTAGAAAAGTCTCCAGGGGTCCACCTCTCCCAATCCAGTCTCTCAAGGGTGAGGCCGGTGATTCTGCAGCCGTCAAAACAAACCAAGCTCGATTCCATGCACGGAAGGCAAAGTTATCAAAGTCTTAAATTCGCCCAGAAATCTTTATCGGCAGTCCACGGTGTCGCGCCCGCCAGCCTACCTTAACAGCGCGGTTAGTCAACGTGCTTGACACCGACGTTGTCTAAGCTATCCACCCTAACATCCTATGTGTCGTTCCTATCCTAACCACCTCGTTGAAAACCAGTTGTGGACGCTCAGATCTTCGACATTCCACCGAAACAACCGCTGCTTCGTGGCCTATGGTAAGTGGTTTCTAGAAAAACCTCTGGGGGTCCACCTCTCCCAATCCAGTCTCCCTAGGGTGAGGCCCGTGATTCTTTAATCGTCAAAAAAAACCTAGCTCGATTCCATGCTCGGAAGGCAAAGTTATCAAGGTCTTTAATTCGCCCAGAAATCTCCATCGGCAGTCCATGGTGTCGCGCCCGCCAGCCTACCTTAACGGTGCAGTTAGTCGATGTGCTTGACACCGACGTCGTCTAAGCTATCCACCCTAACGTCCTATGTGCCGTTCCTATCCTAACCACCTCGTTGAAAACCAGTTGTGGGCCTATGGTAAGTGGTTTCTAGAAAAATATCTGCGGTCCACCTCTCCCAATCTAGTCTCCCTAGGGAGAGGCCCGTGATTCTGCAGCCGTAAAAAAAAACCTAGCACGATTCCATTCCCGGAAGGCAAAGTTATCAAGGTCTTAAATTCGCCCAGAAATCTCCATCGGTAGTCCACGGTGTCGCTCCTGCCGTCGACGTGCTTGACACTGACGACATCTAAGCTATCCACCTATCATCCTATGTGCCGTTCCTTCCCTAACCACCTTGTTGAAAACCAATTGTGGACCCTCAGAGCTTCGACATTCCGCCGAAACAACCGCTGCTTCGTGGCCTATTGTAAGTGGTTTTTAGAAAAATCTCTGGGGTCCACCTTTCCCAATCCAGTCTCTCTAGGGTGAGGCCTGTGATTCTGCAGCCGTAAAAAAAAACCTAGCTTGATTCCTTGCCCGGAAGGCAAAGTTATCAAGGTCTTAAATTCGCCAAGAAATCTCCATCGATAGTCCACGGTGTCGCCCTGCCAGCCTACGTGTAACATTCTGAAAATTCAAGACAATGAAAATCACGAAAATTTCGAACTTTTTAAAACTTTTGCATCATGCTGGTTGTTATGATTGCTATTGCTTGCCAAACCGTAAATGATCACCAAGAAAGTAAAGAAAAGAACTACATTTAAGCAATAGATATGATTTACGGGAATATATTTAATCCTACAAATAATTATGCACAAGATATTAAAATCAAATAAAAGAAAAGTTATTATTAACCTATTTTATCAAATATTAAAATATTTGAATAATGTAGGTGGGTGCCATAATATGTGTACACATGAAATGATGATCATTCAAATAAACTGAGCTCTCTGTATATATAATAGAATTACGGGAGTATTTAATTCGATATGTACATCGATTTTGCACCAAGTTCCTACTTGCATTTAGGGATTGAAATTTGATATATTAAACCCCTCCATATAAAATATAGATAAATTGAGCTAATGTGCTATTATGTTAATAACGGTCTCATTAGAAAATTATAGAATCTTTAATAAACCTTAAATATTGGACAATATTAAATTTTGGGCAAATTCACATTTGAACACTTAATACGGTCACCTAAATGTTTGGGAGTAAATACAAATTTAATTTGCAACTTTTCTCAATTTATAAATCAACCAAAACCCTAAAAGAAGAAAAATAGGAAAACTTTGAAAAATATATAATAATAATAAGAATTAACCCTAATTAAAAATTCAAATAAATTATATAAATAAAATATGAGTAATATTAATCTAGGGTGAATTCATTAGTTAAGATAACACAAATATTGAGTAAAATGCATATATGCAAAATTAGGAATTGTGGAATCAAATTTATATGGAAATTACGCTAAAATCGGGTTAATTAGAAAACGGCACTGTTCATTGCACCTAAGGTGTTCGACGGGGTCCCCTAACCCAGCTCCTCCTCTTTCCCCCTCTCTCCGTCGCCAGCCGCCGCGCACCGTCGCCATCGTCGCCTGCCGCCGTGCCGCCGTCGCCATCTCATCACCGCGGCAGCGCCGTCACCGTCGCGTTCCGCCTCGCGCCGCGCGCCACCGCTGCCGCGCCGTCGCCGTCGCCATCCCGTCGCCTCGCGCCGCGCGCCCGCTGCCACGTGCCGCGCCGCCTTGCGCCCCGAGCCGCGCCGCACCGTCGTCATCTCCGCCCGCGCGCCGCGCGCCGTCACGTCGCCGCCGTCGCCGTCAAGCCCGCGCCGCGCCGCGCCGTCCTATCGTCGCTATCGCGCCGTGCCGTCGTGTCGCCGCCCATCGCATCCCGCCCCGAGCCGCACGCTACCGCTGTCGCCGTCGCCATCGACGTCCCGTCGCCGCGCGCGTCCCATCGCCGCTGCCGCGCCGCGCGCCGTCTCGTCGCCTCGCGCCGCGAGCCCGCCGCTTCGCGCCCCGCGCCACCGCGCCGCCCTCGTTTCACCCTTCCCCCTCCTTCCCCTCTCTTTCTTCCCCTCTCCCCTATAAAGACCCCGGCCCAATCCCCCCTTCTCCACCCCACTCCATTCCCTCCTCTTCTCCCTCTTCCCCTTCTCCACGCGCCGCCGTCGTCGCGCCGCCGCGCCGCCGTTGTCGTGCCGCCGCGCCGCCACCTTCGAAGCCGCCGCGCCGTCGCCTCGGAGCCGCCGCGCCGTGCGTCGCCGCCTTGCGCCGCCGTCGCCGTCGTTGCCGCCACCGCCGCCGCCGGTGAGCCGTCTTCCCCCCCTCCACCTCGCGCCCACTTCCGTCGCCGCCCGGGGAAGCAAAGAGCCGAGAGAGAGAGAGATAGAAAGGAGCCGGGAGGAGAGAAAGAAAAGAAGAGAAAAAGAGAGAAAGAAAAGAAAAAGAAAGGAAAGAAAAAAAAAGGGAAAGGGAGAAAAAGGAAAAGGAAATAAAAAGTAAATTAGAGGGAGATTAGGGAAGTTTAGAAAATTTAAAATAATTAGAATCTAATTATAGAAGTTTTATGGTCTCGAGTCTATGACATGTGGGCCCCACTTGTCATTAGCTCTTCCTATTTCCCTTTAGAAAATAATTCGGTAGGAAAAAGAAATAAACCCGGGTCCCACTTGTCAGTTGGTACAAGGCTGTGGATATGTCTTAAAAATAAATCGTTTATGAACAGTAGCTTTTCGCAATTTCTCGGATTAATTCAAATTTGAATCTTTACACTAGCATAACTTATTCATTTTAACTCGGATTTGAGTGAAACTTGAACCTAAATTCATCTAAATTCATAAGCTTTCCAATGATATATAATTCACTATTTAACAAAATATACTTATAATTATAAATTAATTAATATCAAATGATTAGATAATAGTTAACCTAAATAGTGTGCCAATGAATAAAAATGGATATTGTACAGTAGCATAATTATCTTTAACATGTCTTGTCACTGTAGCAACTAAATAAATTAGTTATAATCAATCCTTCAAATTAATGGATGTATAGGAAAATACTAGTACTTATTTAATATTCGATGGCCATATAATTAAATCCATGGCTTATAGGTTATTTAAATCAAGTATAGCCTTATGATTATGTAACTAAAATCTAAACACACATAGATGAATCTTTAACCTGTTTAGGAGAATCATAACAGAGCTAGATGTGGAGGAATCACTAAGTAAATTAATCGATGCAATACCATATAGAATAGCATATATATGCCTAAATTGATTACCACTTATTAGTAACCCAATAGAACCAATGCTTAAACTTGTCGCATCACATATACAATATCACTCATAGAAACTAGCTAATGTATAATTAAACTACAATATATTTAGGAATCACTTGGAGCATTGGGTAGTACACTTTCTAAATAAGCTCATGTACAGTAGGCGACCAAAACCTTATATGTTGTTGCACACATATATTGTACATCCCATTATAGTTACACAATTAATTTATCTTTTTCATATATTAAACTGGGGAGTATATAGCAAACATGAATAGTAGATAAGTACTAATTATAAATCTTGACCTCCTATGTTCATAGTTCAATTGTAACTCCGGATTGTTCATTAAGAGATAATCTGTAACTATAATATTATAAACTTCCCGAATTTAACATATAGAGCATGGATAATTATTAGCCCTTTTATAATTTATAATGGCAAGTAAAATATGTTCATAATTAAAGTAAAGCTTCCATCAATAAAATAATAATACAAATAATTCACTGTAATTGTTTGATTGATCCTAAATCCATCTAACAAAAGAACCTCTAGTATATAACCGTCCTATTTAGATAGATGAATACATAGCCATAATCCTTCCATAGCCATTTGATAGACTAAACCACCGATTAGCCAAATATATATGTATCCCATAAATGCTATGTTGGTTAACTCCTAAATAGGCCACGATGACAATAGAAAGATTAAGAAACTTTAGCCTTAGCATGATTGGGATCCATTAGCAAACACGAATAGTACATTTTATTGCGCATATTTGATTGTTGTTTGAATATTGGTTTTTCTCGCGTATTATAGACCTTGTGTATCGGTTAGTCGTGAGGCAACGTCTGCAACTTCCAGGAGGTGAAGGTTGATCAAGATTATATCAATAATAAGGATTATCCTGAGCAAGGCAAGTCATCACTATTCCTTGAACATGTTGATCCCAATTGCGAAATTGTTTTGTTTGCAAATAAAATTGCATGCAATGATGAACATCCTACTTGTGATTATGCCATGCCTTGATTATTGTTTACCCTTAAATCTTTGTAACCATGTTTACGTATGAGTCCCTAGTCAACTATGACAATTGCTTAGGAATGCTATTCTAGAATCATACATACTCATATTTATCAAATGCTATATGCTTGGGCAATTACCTTTGGGAAGGTAATTGAGATGCGGCATGTGGAGACATGAGCGCCACATTGCCATGATGTTGATGACATGATTTGTGAAAGGAGAAATAAAATTAAAACAACTGTTTTCGACTGGGGTGGACGGAGGATTTGGGTGGTATCTGGAAAAGGCTAGTACCGTCCCCAGTCAATTAAGGACCGAGCCATGAAGTTAAGCATGAAACGACCCCCGTACAACCGTACTTCTCGAATGGGTATAGACCTAGCGGATTAGATAGCCGAGCGGAGGCAGTATCCCAGCATAGATGGTTCACCCCTGAGTGAGGCAGGTGCGCTACGATGGGACAGCCGTTGAGGTAGGGCCGAGAAGCGTGCCCTACATCGGTGTCGCCATTGGTAGGACTGCCATGAGTGTGTAAGAGAGAGAACTTAACTTGAACCATAATTTAATATGCGTGACTTCTCTTTCCCGGGAGCGCCAGAACTCCTCTCACTGCTAGAAACATGGACGCCTAGAGTGCATGAGGATTTAAGTTCATGGAGCGGGTACTGCCAATGCGAGGTTATCGAAAAGCTTTGCCGTGATGCGTCTCATGTGTTGGGACGAGGCTCATGTGTTGGGCAGTCGCGGAGTGCGGGTAAAGTGTACATCCACTGCAGTGTGAGTAAACCAAATCTATTCGAATAGCCGTGCTCGCGGTTATTGAGCACCGGGACATGTATTACACTTGGCTAGACTCTAAATTCTTAACTTGTGGGGGGATGGGATATTGCATGATGAATTTTATGCTGATGGAGCCACATCCCGAGAGGAGGGAAGGTGGACATCCTCAGAAAACCATGACGATTCAATGGCGGGAAGCTATCCTTGGGATCACAATGGATGGTGGACAGAACCGTCGTTGTTTAAAGTGAACACTGGTACTAAAATTTGATCAGTCTATACTAGGTTTTAGGCTTGTGAAAAGAATTGTAAAATTAGCTTTATGCAAAAGAACCTGAAGCCATTCCTTGAAATACCCTCTATCATATGCATTGTTGTTGTGGTGGCTTCCTGAGTACGGTTGGTACTCACCCTTGCTATTCATATATCTTTTAGGAGAGTGTTGAAGAGAAGCCCTTGTCGGTACGCTTGCGTATCTAACAAGATGATCGGAGTGCGGTCTTGTTCTAGGTCTCGTTCCCCAGTCGACTGCCTGTGGCATGTTAACCGGGCCCTTATATTATTTTGTCTTCCGCTGTTGTTCTCTGATAGTTGTTGGCCTACCTGGCCCTAATGTAAGTATTTAACTCTTTTAGCCTAAATTCATTCGTGATATGTTGTGATCCAACTATGAATGTGTGTACCAACTACTGATCCAGGGATTGATACGGATAAACACAGAAGATTTCCGATTCCCAAAATTGGGGGTCTACACTACGTTAACGGCGCGGTTAGTCAACGTGCTTGACACCGACGTCGTCTAAGCTATCCACCCTAACATCCTATGTGCCGTTCCTATCCTAACCACCTCGTTAAAAACCAGTTGTGGACCCTCAGATCTTCGACATTTCACCGAAACAACCGCTGCTTCGTGGCCTATGGTAAGTGGTTTCTAGAAAAATCTTTGGGGTTCCACCTTTCCCAATTCAGTCTCTCTAGGGTGAGGCCCGTGATTCTGCAGCCGTAAAAAAAAACCTAGCTCGATTCCATGCCCGGAAGGCAAAGTTATCAAGGTCTTAAATTCGCCCAGAAATCTCCATCGGCAGTCCACGGTGTCGCGCCCGCCAGCCTACCTTAACGGCGCGGTTAGTCGACGTGCTTGACACCGAGGTCGTCTAAGCTATCCACCCTAACATTCTATGTGCAGTTCCTATCCTAACCACCTCGTTGAAAACCAGTTGTGGACCCTTAGATCTTCGACATTCCGCCGGAACAACCGCTGCTTCGTGGCTGACGGAGCGTGGGGCTCCTCACCGGGAGACCGCGCAGGCCCCCCTTTGCCGGTTCGGCCGGGGACTCAGGGAGAGATTCTAAGCTCTCTGTATGTGGAAGGCTCGCGAGACAGGAAACACACAAGACACGGGCGATGTATACAGGTTCGGGCCGCTGAGAAGCGTAATACCCTACTCCTGTGTTTTGGGAGATCTGTGTATGAAGGAGCTACAAAGTATCAGCCAGCCTCTCCCTTGTTCTGGGTTTCTAATCTGGAAAAGTCCAGTCCCCCCTCTCAGTGGGCAAGGTCCTCCTTTTATATCTTAAGGGGATACCACATGCACCATTTCTCTCTTTTTTTGTGGGGACTTACCCCCCCTTTTCATAAATGGACGGAGATTTGTATAGTTGCCGTCCGAGTCACCTTCTGATGAGACGGCCCACAACTACCTCCACTTTCGCCGGGAGCAGGTGCGACGTGGAATCGTGGCTGTCTGCTGACGACATGACCGGTATCAGACCAGTCACGTCGGTCATTCTTGTCCACCACGTGTCAGCTTAGCAATCTACATGCTCGCCCTTCTTCACACAACATCTTGCCTGTAATGGTTTAGGATGAAGCCTGGCATATATCTGACCAGGACTAACGTGCCATCTCTGGGAGGTAACACGCTAGCTCCAGCTGGGGACGAGCGCCTAGAAGCCCTCGTCCTGACGGGATGGGGCGAGGCGTGCGTCAGATCGCCTGTCGCCACCTAACCCGCGATCTGACCGGTCTGTGACTGGTCACAGACCGGATAAACGAGTGCACTGCACTGCGTTACATGCGGCGTGACACGCTCAGCCAAACCGCAATAAATGTGGTTAGGTGAGCCCCACTGTGCTCACCTAACCCATACATGCGGAGAAAAAACCCACGAGGGGTCGGGGCGCCTCGGCCCTCGGGGCCGAGGGGGGTGCGGCCCGACCCCCTCGGGGGGACTAAGAGGAGGGCGAACGCATCACCCTCGGGCCCGACGTCCCTCGGGGGTACCAGGCCACGTGTGCGATTGTGTCTGCCTCAAACCTCTAGTCATGATACTCCTGATCCCATGTCACCGACAGTAGCCCCCGGCGTTATGCCAGGGCGATCGCCCTCTTTAAGGGAAACGGTCGGGCGTGACGCCACTCCTGAGACCTGGTGACAGGTGGGACCGATCTCCACAATTGGGCAGAAACCCAACGGTCACAAACCACGCACATCGGCAATGGTAACTCGGCTGTCAACAATGAGCGGTCTCTTCAAGACTGCCACATTACTTGAGTAGCATACGAATCTGGACATGGCGATTCGTTTCGTCTGAAGATATGGTAACGTTGCTTCGGTCGGCGAGCGTAATTAACGCGCGCACGATATGATCTATCTCGACTGCCACAACCGCATATCCACCTCATGCGCCGCAAGCGGGCGAATGGGATTAGTGGAAGCGTGGGCGCGAGAAACGAGGGGGCGAAATAGTGGGCGCGAGAAGCGAGGAGCCGGGCACAGCGTTGGCAAGAGTATAAAGGCACTGAGGAAGGGATCTGTTTCCTTCCTTTCGCCATTATTCCCCTTGTCTTCGCTGCTTGCGCCCTAACTCCTTCTTTCCTGTGCCCTACCTTCGCCACACGCGCTCGCTCTTAATCTTCTCTTCCTCCGGCGCCATGGCACGGGGTTCCGCTCTGCTCGATGGTAGCGTGCTGCCGCCTTCCCGGATCGTGAGCGAGAGGCAGGCTGGGCTGTCGCGCCGCTTCATGCCGGAATCTGCCACCGGCCGGGAGATAGTCACGCTGGGCGAGGGACGCCCGGCGCCAGACTACCCGGGGCGGTCCGTCTTCTTTCTCCCCTTTGCAATGGTAGGGCTGGTTCCACCATTTTCTTCTTTCTTCATGGATGTTCTGGAGTTCTACGATCTCCAGATGGCGCACCTCACCCCCAACGCGGTGATGACATTGGCCATCTTCGCGCATCTGTGCGAGATGTTCATTGGGGTGCGCCCATCTCTTCGGCTGTTCCGGTGGTTCTTCACCGTGCAGTCGGTGTCGCCGCCATCGGTAGTCGGTGGCTGCTACTTCCAGCCACGGGGGCCGGTGCTGAACCGCTACATCCCCTGTGCCCTCCGCAAGAAGTGGGACGACTGGAAGAGCGACTGGTTCTACACTCCCCTCGCCGACGAAGCGCGCCTCCGACTTCCGAGCCAGCCCCCGGCGCAGGCCTCCAGCTGGCGGGCGCCGGTAGATCTGGGGGATGGCTATGACGCCGTCCTCGACCGCCTGGCGGGCCTGCGATCCTAGGGGCTCACAGGGGCCATGGTGTACGGCGACTACCTCCGTCGTCGGATTGCACCGCTCCAGCGACGCGCTCGGGGCGCCTGGGAGTACACCGGGTCCGAAGACTTCACGAGGACCCACCAGGGAGTGAGATGGGACTGGGCTCCTAAGGACTTCAAGATATTGGTCCAACGGGTGCTGAATCTCAACTCCGTAGAGGCGGCCCTCATTCCCCAAGGAATCCTCCCCCTCTGCAGCGATCCAGACCGCGCCTCCATCCTGACCATTATGATGGCGGTCGGGGCCTCAGAGGAGCGAGCTCCAAAGGGTCACGACGGCGCAGGCGGGAGCCGCAGGGGGGAACAATCTACCCCGAGAGGGGGTCGTGCTTCTGGGTCCCGCGACAGGGGCCCGGGGAGCAGCCGCCCTGCCGACGCCCGGGGGAAGAGGAAGCAGGGAGGAACACCTCCCCCATCTCCTCCCCGAGGGGGCGGGGCGGCGCGTGCCAGTAACAGGCGCCCGGAGGGGGCCGCGCCAACATCGCAGCCCGAGGGGGAGCGCAAGAAGAAGCGGCCCCGTAAGATGGGGGAGACAGAACCATCTCGGGGAAACCTCATTTCCCCTCCAAAGTGGTCGTTTAACCGACCCCCTCGCAGGTTCGTCTCTCACCCATCGTGGCTGTATTCATTCTCTCAACGCGAGTTTTCACTCACCCATCTTGTTCGTCTTCTGGTTTTTTCTTTCGTTTCAGCGAGATCCTGTCGCGTCCCTCCCGCCATTCCAAGTCCGGCCAGTCTGAGGCCGAGGATCCGGCGGCCGCAGAGGCCCTCAGGCGGGAATCTGACCGGCGAGAGGCCGCGGATCGCCTACGGGAAGCCGAGGAGGCCGCCCAGGAGGCCGCCCGGGCTCGCCAGGCCGAGGAAACCGCTCGGGAGGAGGCCGCCCGGGCCCGCCAGGCCGGGGAAGCCGCTCGGGAGGAGGCCGCCCGGGCCCGCCAGGCCGGGGAAGCCGCTCGGGAGGAGGCCGGATTTCGCTAGGACGAGGCGATGGCGACTTCCGAGGCAGCTCGCGATGAGGCCGCGGGCGCGTCGCTTGGGCCCACTCCCTCAGGCGACACTCAGGCGACAACTTCCGGGGCAGCTGGCGACGAGGCCGCGGGCGCGTCGCTTGGGCCTACTCCCTCGGGCGACGCTCAGGACCAACCGGGTCCGGGGGACATCCCCGAGTCCGGCACTTCCATCGGCGGCCCGAGCCGCGTGGCATCCTCTCCAAGGCGGCTCTTCCCCACGCCTTCTATCGCCCTACTGAACGCAGAGCCCCTTCTGCAGGCCTTGGCCGCCGCAAACACCACGGTGTTGGATGGGTTAAGTGCCTAGGTGGAGGTCTTGCAGGCAGAGCGGGCGGAGCTCGACGCCGCGTGGGCGCGTGTCGAAGAGGGGCGACGCTCGGTGGAGGCCATGGTGGAGGTGGGCCGTAAGGCTCACCGCCGGCACGTCTCGGAGCTTGAAACTCGTAAGAAGGTGCTGGCGGAGATCGCCAAGGAAGTGGAGGAGGAGCGGGGGGCTGCCCTCATTGCCACCACCGTGATGAACGAGGCGCAGGACACCCTCCGCCTTCAATACGGGAGCTGGGAGGCGGAGCTAGGGAAGAAGCTTGACGCCGCCCAGGGGGTGCTTGACGCTGCCGCTGCCCGAGAACAGCGGGCGGCGGAGACCGAAGCGGCATCCCGGCGGCGCGAAGAGGCCCTTGAGGCGCGCGCCATGGCGCTGGAAGAGCGCGCCTGCGTCGTGGAGAGGGATCTGGCGGACCGCGAGGCCGCCGTCACCATCCGGGAAGCAACGCTGGCGGCGCACGAGGCTGCCTGCGCCGAAGAAGAGTTCACGCTCCGCCTCCGCGAGGACGCGCTCACCGAACGGGAGCGAGCTCTCGAGGGGGCCGAGGCCGTGGCGCAACAGCTGGCGGTCAACCTGTCCCTCCGCGAGGCAGCGCAGGAGGAGCAGGCGCGCCGCAATCTGGAAGGTGCCCGCGCCGAGAGGGCCGTACTGAACCAACGGGCCGCTGAGCTCGAGGCGCGGGCGAAGGAGCTGGACGCGAGGGCGCGCAGCGGCGGGGCGGCCACGGGCGAAAGCGACTTAGCCGCCTGCCTCGCAGCTGCCGAACGCACCATCGCCGATCTGCAGGGCGCGCTGGACTCGTCCGCCGGGGAGGTCGAAGCCCTCCGCTTGGCAGGCGAGGTAGGGCCCGGCATGCTTTGGGACGCCGTCTCCCGCCTAGATTGCGCCGGTCGGCAAGTGGGCCTCTGGAGAGGGCGGACCGTAAAGTACGCCGCCAACCAGGGAGGCCTCGCCCAGCGCCTCTCGAAGATGGCCGGGGCTCTCCAACGGCTCCCCGAGGAGCTCGAGAAGACAATTAAGTCATCCTCGAGGGACCTCGCCCAAGGAGCGGTGGAGCTCGTCCTGGCGAGTTACCAGGCCAGGGACCCCAATTTCTCTCCATGGATGGCGCTGGATGAGTTCCCTCCTGGGACCGAGGACCGCGCGCGCGCGTAGGTCCGGGATGCCGCCGACCATATCGTCGACAGCTTCGAGGGCTCGGCCCCTCGGCTTGCGTTCGCCTGACCGCGCCGTTAAGGTAGGCTGGCGGGCGCGACACCATGGACTGCCGATGGTGATTTCTGGGCGAATTTAAGACTTTGATAACTTTGCCTTCCGGGCATGGAATCGAGCTTGGTTTATTTTGACGGCTACAGAATCACAGGCCTCACCCTAGAGAAGATGGATTGGGAGAGGTGGACCCCAGAGATTTTTCTAGAAACCACTTACAATAGGTCACAAAGCAGCGGTTGTTTCGGTGAAATGTCGAAGATCTGAAGGTCCACAACTGGTTTTCAACGGCGCGGTAAGTCGACGTGCTTGACACCAACATCGTCTAAGCTATCCACCCTAACGTCCTATGTGCCGTTCCTATCCTAACAACCTCGTTGAAAACCAGTTGTGGACCCTCAGATTTTTGACTTTTTGCGGAAACAACCACTGCTTTGTGGCCTATGGTAAGTGGATCCTAGAAAAGTCTCCAGGGGTCCACCTCTCCCAATCCAGTCTCTCAAGGGTGAGGCCGGTGATTCTGCAGCCGTCAAAACAAACCAAGCTCGATTCCATGCACGGAAGGCAAAGTTATCAAAGTCTTAAATTCGCCCAGAAATCTTTATCGGCAGTCCACGGTGTCGCGCCCGCCAGCCTACCTTAACAGCGCGGTTAGTCAACGTGCTTGACACCGACGTTGTCTAAGCTATCCACCCTAACATCCTATGTGTCGTTCCTATCCTAACCACCTCGTTGAAAACCAGTTGTGGACGCTCAGATCTTCGACATTCCACCGAAACAACCGCTGCTTCGTGGCCTATGGTAAGTGGTTTCTAGAAAAACCTCTGGGGGTCCACCTCTCCCAATCCAGTCTCCCTAGGGTGAGGCCCGTGATTCTTTAATCGTCAAAAAAAACCTAGCTCGATTCCATGCCCGGAAGGCAAAGTTATCAAGGTCTTTAATTCGCCCAGAAATCTCCATCGGCAGTCCATGGTGTCGCGCCCGCCAGCCTACCTTAACGGTGCAGTTAGTCGACGTGCTTGACACCGACGTCGTCTAAGCTATCCACCCTAACGTCCTATGTGCCGTTCCTATCCTAACCACCTCGTTGAAAACCAGTTGTGGGCCTATGGTAAGTGGTTTCTAGAAAAATATCTGCGGTCCACCTCTCCCAATCTAGTCTCCCTAGGGAGAGGCCCGTGATTCTGCAGCCGTAAAAAAAAACCTAGCACGATTCCATTCCCGGAAGGCAAAGTTATCAAGGTCTTAAATTCGCCCAGAAATCTCCATCGGTAGTCCACGGTGTCGCTCCTGCGGTCGACGTGCTTGACACTGACGACATCTAAGCTATCCACCTATCATCCTATGTGCCGTTCCTTCCCTAACCACCTTGTTGAAAACCAATTGTGGACCCTCAGAGCTTCGACATTCCGCCGAAACAACCGCTGCTTCGTGGCCTATTGTAAGTGGTTTTTAGAAAAATCTCTGGGGTCCACCTTTCCCAATCCAGTCTCTCTAGGGTGAGGCCTGTGATTCTGCAGCCGTAAAAAAAAACCTAGCTTGATTCCTTGCCCGGAAGGCAAAGTTATCAAGGTCTTAAATTCGCCAAGAAATCTCCATCGATAGTCCACGGTGTCGCCCTGCCAGCCTACGTGTAACATTCTGAAAATTCAAGACAATGAAAATCACGAAAATTTCGAACTTTTTAAAACTTTTGCATCATGCTGGTTGTTATGATTGCTATTGCTTGCCAAACCGTAAATGATCACCAAGAAAGTAAAGAAAAGAACTACATTTAAGCAATAGATATGATTTTCGGGAATATATTTAATCCTACAAATAATTATGCACAAGATATTAAAATCAAATAAAAGAAAAGTTATTATTAACCTATTTTATCAAATATTAAAATATTTGAATAATGTAGGTGGGTGCCATAATATGTGTACACATGAAATGATGATCATTCAAATAAACTGAGCTCTCTGTATATATAATAGAATTACGGGAGTATTTAATTCGATATGTACATCGATTTTGCACCAAGTTCCTACTTGCATTTAGGGATTGAAATTTGATATATTAAACCCCTCCATATAAAATATAGATAAATTGAGCTAATGTGCTATTATGTTAATAACGGTCTCATTAGAAAATTATAGAATCTTTAATAAACCTTAAATATTGGATAATATTAAATTTTGGGCAAATTCACATTTGAACACTTAATACGGTCACCTAAATGTTTGGGAGTAAATACAAATTTAATTTGCAACTTTTCTCAATTTATAAATCAACCAAAACCCTAAAAGAAGAAAAATAGGAAAACTTTGAAAAATATATAATAATAATAAGAATTAACCCTAATTAAAAATTCAAATAAATTATATAAATAAAATATGAGTAATATTAATCTAGGGTGAATTCATTAGTTAAGATAACACAAATATTGAGTAAAATGCATATATGCAAAATTAGGAATTGTGGAATCAAATTTATATGGAAATTACGCTAAAATCGGGTTAATTAGAAAACGGCACTGTTCATTGCACCTAAGGTGTTCGACGGGGTCCCCTAACCCAGCTCCTCCTCTTTCCCCCTCTCTCCGTCGCCAGCCGCCGCGCACCGTCGCCATCGTCGCCTGCCGCCGTGCCGCCGTCGCCATCTCATCACCGCGGCAGCGCCGTCACCGTCGCGTTCCGCCTCGCGCCGCGCGCCACCGCTGCCGCGCCGTCGCCGTCGCCATCCCGTCGCCTCGCGCCGCGCGCCCGCTGCCACGTGCCGCGCCGCCTTGCGCCCCGAGCCGCGCCGCACCGTCGTCATCTCCGCCCGCGCGCCGCGCGCCGTCACGTCGCCGCCGTCGCCGTCAAGCCCGCGCCGCGCCGCGCCGTCCTATCGTCGCTATCGCGCCGTGCCGTCGTGTCGCCGCCCATCGCATCCCGCCCCGAGCCGCACGCTACCGCTGTCGCCGTCGCCATCGACGTCCCGTCGCCGCGCGCGTCCCATCGCCGCTGCCGCGCCGCGCGCCGTCTCGTCGCCTCGCGCCGCGAGCCCGCCGCTTCGCGCCCCGCGCCACCGCGCCGCCCTCGTTTCACCCTTCCCCCTCCTTCCCCTCTCTTTCTTCCCCTCTCCCCTATAAAGACCCCGGCCCAATCCCCCCTTCTCCACCCCACTCCATTCCCTCCTCTTCTCCCTCTTCCCCTTCTCCACGCGCCGC